ACCAGTAGCTACCGTCGTAATACTACCCTCTACCATCTCGTTCGCGATGCCTGAAATAAAAAGAAAGTTAGAGAGAGAGAGAGAGAGAGAGAGAGAGAGAGAAACAGTAACCCTTTCCTTCTCCTCTGCTCGTAATTGAGCCTCGGATCGTAGAACGAAGAGAGCGACTTGGGTAGAAACGAGTGGCTACTCGGACGCGTCACGTGTGGGATCTCGAGTTTATTTGCATCCCTTCCCATCCCTTTTACCTCTCTTACCATCAGCATCTACCATCTAGCATCCACCACCACTACCACCATCATCACCATTACTACTACTACTACTAGCATTACCACGATGTGGTTTAAAGAGGAGAGTTTAAGGGAAATTGCTCCGCATGAAAGGACACACCTACATCTCTTTCTCTTTCTCTTTCTCTTTCTCTTTCTCTCCGTTACTCGTGTTGTTATCGCGTAGGTGTAACTGAAGTTTGCTGTCGACGATACCGCCGGCTATTTGTCACGATCCACTCTACCACTCTTTGAGAAAGCAAATCCACGAGGATGTGTAGAGAAAATCTCATGGACGTCGTTTCTCGTAGTTGACGTTCGAAGATTAATGTCGAAATCCTATCGATTGTTGAATTTAATTTCAAATGGGAATACACTAAACGTCAAAACTTTGCAATCCTATTGTAAATCTTATATGTAAGAAACGGGATACTTTTGTTAGAAACAATGATAAATTCTTTTTGGAATAACCAAGATCGATTTAATAGTAACAAATAGTAAACGTAAACAATAAAAGTTCCTGTCATCGATCTACAAACGCGATAAGACCAATTATACGAAAATCCATGCGTTCCTCAGAAGGTTTCCCCCTGCGTGTGATCAATCCTTCACCAACATACTAACGTGTTTACACGTTCAAGATCTTCCAATTATTTTATACACAATTATATTGTAATTATAATCGATGATCGTGATTTTTTATCTAGTAGATTTCTCGTATCTTTAACGTTATCTTTAGGATAACCAATGGTTACTCGAATGAACTCATTCAAATGCACATCTACACTGAATTGAGAAATCTAAAAAGAGATTTTCTTTTTTTTGAAAAACGGACACATGTCCGAATATTTTTCTAAAAGAAAAAAAAACCTGAACGCTAATAACTCCCATTATCCGTTCTTATATTTCATTTGGAATGTAAAAAATGCGAGGAAAAAAATGTATCCAGAGAAATTTGTACAGACTCGAGTTTGTACACACGTCTCGATGTGTATTTAGCGGAGAATGTGCTCGAACCTCCTTAGGTTCTCGTCGATGGAGACGAACACGAAGGTGGGACATAGATAAATGTTGGCAAGCCACGACGGGGATTGGACCAAACCAGATAGGAGACAGAGAAAGCAAGAGAAATGAGAGAGTGTTAGTAGGTAATAGTAGTAGTAGTAAAGTTGAACTGGTACCGATGAGGAAAACAAAGCGTACGGCCACGGAGACAAATCGGAGTTCACTCCCTCGGGTTTTTCCTGGGTGATAGAAGGGCCAGGGTGGGTGGTGATGGTGAATAGGATGGAAGGTTCAACGGGAGTGCATCGATGCGAACCAATCGAAATTTCAATGCTAACTGACGAGTGTACGATCTTGATACGAATCCGATCGATATTGGCAATATGCCCGCATAGTCCTAATCGACACGTTACGACTGCGAAAGAGATTGAAATTCTGCTCAGTTATAGCGTTTTCTCGCAATTTATAACAAATTGTCTACCGAGTTTGATCATAATTATTATGCACGCGTACCTAGGTTCGATCGAAAAATTTCCAACTTTGGACAGACGCAACTCACTCACCTCTCATCGTGTGTGTCCTATTTAATTAACCAGATTGGATATTTATATTTGCGTTAACGTTAACTGTATCTCTCGAGTATTTGAGAAAAATTCATTTACGAGCATTCAAAAATTGAATATTTCTGAGATAAAAAAAAGTAAACTAACAGTTATTAATATGTCAAAAGCATTTCATTGTCGTAACAGGAATCCAGAAATAATGATCGCAAATCTGTGTTATAACATATCATGTTTGAAAAAAGTATACGATATAAGACGATAATAAAAAAGGGAATGAAGTTAAAAATGAAAATGAGTTAAGAAAAGAAACGTGTCAACTGAATTTGTCGTAGTAGAGAAAACTAGACTCTTGGAATAGTTCCATTTTTTGCCATTCGCGTGTTTTCACGAAACGTATCGAGGTAATACCCATCTCTACTTTCTTTCTTCCCCCTTGGCGTGCCCATACCCACGCCCATGCCCATGCCCATGCCCTTGCACGAGCTGGTTCCCTGTTTCTTTCTCTTTACGGTCACAGAAAGGATAGCGCGAACGCGTATTCCTCATATTTTATTCCGGCTTCTTCCCTGCTTTTTATTGCGGTTTGACTCGAACCCGAGACGCGGCTGGCTTGCACCAGCACCAAGTCGCAATTTCAGTCTCACTCGCTGTTCAACCCGTCGGGGATCCTTTTGCTGCTACCTTTCTCTCCCTCTCTCTCTCTCTCTCTCTCTCTCTCTCTCTCTCTCTCTATCTCTCTCTCTCTCTCTATCTCTCTTCCTCTAACTCGATTCCGTCCATTTTCTTTTAAACCAGAGTTGTTGGAATTACATAAGCAAAAGAAAAAAAAGACAAATTCACCATGGGGGAAAATTCACGCTCCGCGTAGGGAATAATGATGGGAGAGAGAGAAAAAACTTATTCTATCTTTTATTTACTTCGCTGATCCAAATTCTCACAGGTTTCGTCTTTTTTTCTTGAGAGAGAGATAGAGAGAGAGAGAGAGAAACCATGATTTTCATGATTTACACCAAATCTTACGTTATAGTCTTGTTTTTTCTTTTCTTACGGTTAGTCATCGATCTTTCATTTCTATACCCGTAGAAATATTTTAACGCTTGCTCAAAACATATTTTCGTTGCAATTCCGCATGTCTTTTTATTCATCCTTTTACCTGACTTCTCTGCAAACACTTTTTCACACCTATCCCCAATACTATCAAAGAGTAGAATTAAAAATACATTATTGTTGTTT